AAATTTTTGAATATTGTATTTCAATAATATCGCAAGCAAAGTATCATTTGTGATTCTCAGCGAAAAAAAAAATTTTGTAAATTGTAAAAATAATCTATTATTTCTAGCTTCGTCAAAAACGTGAACGTGAAATTCGTCAACTTGAAATTGAAAATCAAGAAATTCGTGGTCAATTACAAGATTTAACACAAAATATAAAAGATTTAGAAATACGATTAAAAAGACATTATGATGATTTAAATAAAGCTACGACAACAACAGAAACTGATGCTACAATAAAAACAAATCTTCAAAAACAAATACGTGATTTTCAAATAGAAGTTGATTCTTTAAAAGCAGATTATACAAGTGAAAGAGAATTACGTAAAAGTTTAGAACGTGAAAAACGTTCATTAATGGAAGAAAATAATTCTTTACGTAATGAAATATTTAATAAAACAGATGTAAGTGATGAAATACTTCAACGAGAAAAAAAATTTGAAGACGAATTATCAATAATAAAACATGAATTACATCAAACACGAAAAAATCATGAAACAACTGTTTATGATATACGGTCAAAACATGTTAAAGAACATGAAGAATTAACAAAACAATTAGAAAATTCTAAAAAACAATTACAAATATGTACAAAAGATCTTCAATCATTAAAAAATGAGGTTAAAGATCGTGATAGTGAAATAAAAAATTTAAATGTATTAAAACAAGATATTGAAAAAAAAAGAAAACAATCAGAAGTACAAATTCCAGATCTTCTACATAAATATAATGAAAGTGAAAGAATTAAAAATGAACTTATTGATAAATCACAACGTTATCAACAAAATATTGAAGCTTTAAATGCAGCTTATATTGAAGTTGAACAACGTTCACAAAATAATGAACGTACTATAAAGACACTTAAACATGATAATCAAGATTTACAAGAAAGATTTCAAGATGAAAATCGTCAAAAAATGAATGTTCTATCAAAACTTCGTCAAACAGAAGATTTAATTAATGAATTAAAAGAACGTTTAGATGAAGAAGAAGAAGAAAATCATAAATTAAATGCTAAATTAACACAAATAACGCAAGAAAATAATGAATCACGTCGTATAAATGAACAAATTGAATATACAGAAGAACTTCGTCGACAATTACAACGTGAAAAAGATACCATAGTTAAAGAACTTGATAATGAAAAATTATTAAATTCAAAATTAACAAAATCAAATCAAAAACTTACAAATGATATAACTGATCTTAATGTTGAATTAGAACGTTATAGTACAATTGTACAAAATGTTGAAAAAACTAAACGTACATATGAAAAACGTGTTCAAGATGAAAAAAAATTACAAGAAAAATTACGTCAAGAACGTGATCAAAATGAACGAGATACAAGAGAAAAAGAAACACAACGTTTAAATTTATTAAAAGAATTAAATGAACGAAATTATGCTTATGAAGATTTAGATAAACGTTATAAACAATTACGTACAGATATGGATAAAAGAACAAATACAGATGATGTTGGAAGATATATTCAAGAATTAGAAAAAACTAAACGAAATTTTGGTAAGACAAAAAAAAAAGATGGACTAAACTACCGTGTCTATGTGTTTTTTCCTAACAAGTCTTAAAATATATCCTTCAAAGTGTTTTTTGTGTGACAATAACATCTTCCATATTTCGATTCTATAGATTAGATTAGAAGTTTTTTTTTTAAACAATAAATAAATGACCTAAAAACTTTTCTGATATTAAATAAGGTCATTGATCAATATAGGAAAATATTTTATTATTTTAAGAGGAATCCTTTTAATATTTTCTCAGTTTTAGATCTTCAATAAGTAATATGTTATATTTTAATACATCAATAGATATATAAAAATAGTTCTAGTATCTAAAACGGAAATGTTCAAGCATAAGAGAGTTAATTTTCTTTTCAAGAGATTACATCTCGTCGTTCTTATGACATCCTGAAAGTTTCATCAAAAGCAGATGATTTCTTCTAAAGAAATCGTATACTTAAAAAACAAACAGATTTGTTCAATTCTTTTGCAAGAAACTAGATGTTTTGTAACTCTGTTATCTTGATACAGAAACATTCGTTTTCGCTGAAATTGTACGGATGATTATAAAATTCATGAGATCTATTTCTCTGTAAAATTGCAGATAAATAAACCTTGAATTCAGTTTTCCTAGTAACATCTTGGACTAGGTAGAAAATTTCTTAATATGATCATAACTCAAGAAGGCACATATCATTTTAGAACTTTTATCTACACAATGAAGCCTAGTAACCAGTGACATATGTTTTCAAACGGAAGTTATTAATTTGAAGAATTCTTTTGTTAATGTTTCAATTACTAAGTTTTGCCCGCTATATATGAAATATAGTTTTCAACATGAGATAATTTATATTTAACTAGAATGATAACACCAGTTTCATTGAAATTCTAAAACAATTGAATGATCAACAGTACAAGTTTTTTGAATTTGAAATTTTTCTTTTTAGAATTAATTGTTGACGATCAAAAAAATCAAATAACCGAACTAGAAGATGAATTACAAACATCTGAAGATGCTCGTTTACGACTTGACGTTAATGTTGGCGCATTAAAACAAACAATAGAAAATATTACACAAGATTTTAATAGAGAACTTGAAGATTCTAAACGTTTATCAAGTCAACGATTAAAAGAATATGAAACCGAACTTCAAGAAGAACAAAAATCTAAACAACAAATAATTCAACAACGTAAAAAATTTGAAATTGATCTTCAAAGTGCATATCAACAAAGTCAAGAAGCTAATCGATTAAAAGACGAAACTCTGCGTACTAATCGTCGATTACAAGTAAATAAAATTTTATTTTTATTTAAAATTATTCGAATTTAATTTAGACTCAAATTCGTGATTTAACACGTGAATTAGACGAAATTAAACATACTGATATTGTAACAAATCTAACTACTAAAGAATGGCAAACAAAATTGAAAACATATGAACAAAATATTGAACAATTAACAGAAGAAAAAGATCTCATTGAACGACAGCTTCGTCAAATTCAAACAGAACGTGATGAACTTCATCGAGAAATTGCCACTCTTAGTCGAGATTGGTAAACTATCTATTATTGTTATTTTTTTCTTCTTGAATACTTCTTCTTCATCTAGCAATTTATCCATTGATGATAAACGTCGATTTGAAGCACGTATTAATCAACTTGAAGAAGCACTTGAAGAAGAACAAATGAATTCAGAATTAAGTAATGATAAATTTAAAAAGTTAACAATAAATTATGAACAATCTTTGCTTGACTGTGGTACTGAAAAAGAAAATAATAATCAACTTGAAGTATATTTAAAATAAAGAGAAATATTTAAATAGAACACATTTTCTTTTACATAGATCATTCGTAGTAATCTTGAACGCCAAATTCGAGATTTACGTGAACAACTTGATATTAATGGTGGATCTACAATCGAAATATCAAAAGCAAAAATCGCTGGATATGAAGCTAAAATTCATGCATATGAAGAACAAATTGATAGTGAAGTTAGGTATGTTATTAAAATATTTCTTTGTTTTTTTTTGTTTCAATTAAAATTGTAACACTCAATAAGAAAATGCAATGATAAATCGAAGATGAAATTTTCATAGAATTAAAGATCTCAAACTTTGTCATTGGAAGACAAAGAATTCGACTCGAATAGTTTTTCAATACACTTTTAAATATCTTTTTCATTAGAATAATTCATTTATTTTGATTTCTAGAGAAAAACAAAAGGCTTATCGAAATATACGTTTCTTTGAAAAACGTCTTCGTGAAGCATCAGCTGCCGCTGAGGAAACTCAAAAATCGGC